GCATTTGACAAACTGTCCAAATACCGTCATATCATCAAAAATACCTATATGTTTTATGTGATTACCTAGCAATATCATAATATTGGTTCCATAACGGATGTCTTTTGGGGGGAGGGTCCAGAGCCTAAATGCAATTTTGCATGAACGGGGTAATCCGAAATATGTATATGTAACTGTGTCTACTAACAATAAGATCTGACAAAGGTGATTGACTTTGAAATTGACCAAGATCGGCCAGTAGATGGCGATTGATCGTGCCACCCCCAGTATATCGTATAAGACATAATAAGTGTAAAATGTTGTATAGTACAATTAAGTCAATGTTTATTATCTATTAACCTGCATCGTGTCAAATAGGCATGTTAATAGTTAGAATAGGTATAATAGTTATGGTAGGTATAAAAACGTATATTGTTATTTGTATTGCTATTGTTACAGACTTTGGGGAATCATGAGTTCGACCACGGCATTAGCGCTCTTTTGTCGTACTTGAACGGAATTCAAGACATACCCACAGTAGTATCCAACTTGAATATGGCGGCGGAACCAGAACTTAATAATTTTGTATTACCGTCAATAATATTCACCGTAAATAATACAAAAGTGGGCATCGTAGGATGTTTGACAACAGATACTCCGGTAATTATTTTATACTTATAAAGTTATATAATATGATTAACGAGTGTTTCCAATAGAAATTAATTAGGTATATAATTATAGTATATACCAATTAATCGTTGTTCAGTGATGTATATTTCTGTGTCAAATAAAGTCACTCTATATAAGTACCATAGACGTAAATAAGAAAACATGAGGCTTAAAAGGACTTAGCTCTCACTCAACATTTCTATAAGCCCTACTTAAGAGAATAGAAATAGATGCCGATAAAAAAATCAAGCGATTTATTCACGTGATTTATTCGCACATCCCAGACAACACAACACGCATATCTTGTTCAAAATGAATTAATTTTACAAGAAGTTCCTTGAAAATGTATGCCACTCCAGTCACATGGTGTTGGTCAAAATTTGGAGAAATCATTGAAGAAAAATATAAGATAATTAAGATTAATATTAAGTAACAATTTCAAATCTATTATAGAAGTGATTCAGTTTATGTAGTGTTCGATCACCTATTGGCTATAGTCGTGTCACATGGTACTTTTATAAGGTACTATTTATTTTTATAATTTGGATATTGGATATAAATTATACAACAATAATTTTCTCTGAAATTTTTAATTCGTACCATATTTTGAATTTTTAAAATTATTTAAATGAATATTTTTTGCATATAATATAATTCGAAATTAAAAATGGCAACATCAGAAAGTATACCAGTCATTAAATTGTCTCGGTGGCAAAGAGTGCTGAAACTTGGGCGACACATTTTGGCCGTTATCGCTCGTCACCTTTTCAGTTTTATTCTTCAAAATTATTATTTTTTTTCATTGAAAATAGATTATAACCAAATCTACCATTAAATTGATACTGTTTTGAATTTCGTGTCACAGATAAAATTGTTTGAGAATAGATGGGGTGTAGGATGGAGCCCCCTCTGTAATTTTGCTATTTAAACCTTTTGGACTCAACCCCTTTGCGTTTGAGAACATTATTTATGTCTATACAAAAATACCATATGAATTTGTGCCATGAATTTTTTCTACGTATTAACTAAATGTGACTCCTGGCTACGAGACCTCTGCCTCAGCAATCTCACAATATATATTATTACATATAATACACTTTAAAGTCTGTACAGAAATAATTAGTAGATTAGTGTCCCCGTCTACTATGTAAACCAGTGGTTTTCAAACTTTTATTATACACGGCACACCGTATACTTCAAAAAATTTTCTCAGCGTATTGACCATTTTTTAGATGAAAAATGCAATGCAATCGATAATTTATGGAAAAACCGCGGCACACTTAGTAAATACTCTGTTTTAAAACCACTGATGTAGACATTGGACAGTATACTGCGTCGTCTTAATATGGCGACGGATGAAATGGCTTTAAAATTCTTACCATATTTTAGGGCACTTATACTATTTTTCATTTTCACTCTTATTAGTATTGATTTATATTTTAACTTATAAAGTACCCTCTACAAAACCGATCACTTCGCCCTCACAATTCCTTTTACAGTGCTAGTATCACCGATTATTAAAACATAATATTATGTGTAATATATTATAAAATATTGTAATAATTTCATATTAAATATATAAAAATAATATTTTATATACACAATGAAATGTTAAATAACAAAATAATATACAATACGGGATTATCATAATACTTAATATGTTGTATGCTCATATAGATACCTACGATATTAATATATCGAAAGCAGATAGCCAAGCTAATTGGAAAATTTTGGCTTCGAATAAAATAATCACACTAATCTGTTACTATATGAATTTACGTCTTCGCCATAATAATAATACTACAATATGCATGTTTCATTCTACTATTAATCTCTAATCGCTATATGTACAAAACCCTCTAAATATAAGTATAATTCTATAATTCTATAAGCGATAACCAAGACTGATGAATTATTATTTTCATAATATAATTTAAAACATGTTTAAGACCATATCCAATTCCGGAGGCGTTGAATTTTTCGATGAAGTAGAGTCTTTGAAGAAAGAAACTAAAAAGTTACTCGAAAACGATGTTCATATAATTATTTGCCTTAGCCATAGTGGCATCGAAAAAGATAAAGTAATTGCCAAGGAAGTAGAAGACATCGATATAATTATCGGGGGACATTCACATACATTTTTGTATTCGGGTAAGCATTTTTAGTAAACGAATAGAATACTACAAGTCAAACGTGTATAGACTATAGGTATTACATCATCTATAAATGCAAATGAAAATAATGTGTGCAGTTCGTAACAAAACTACATATCCAAAAATTACATATCAAAAACTTCTGTTATAGACACTCCACCCAGTATTGAAAAACCATATGGACCGTATCCACTATACGTGACGAATGTTAAAAATAAGGCCGTGCCAATATTACAGGCATACGCAAATACCAAATACGTGGGCAAAGTTGTTTTAAAATTTGACTCTAACGGTGACATAGTTAATATCGATGGTTCGCCAACGTTATTAAATCATGAAATAAAACAAGGTTAGTATTCTGTTTTTTTTTTTTTTTTGAAATTAAAGGTTTCACGAGGGATTTTAAACTTTAAAAAAAATACAGTTATACATTATAACTTTAACCAATGCCGATGTAGATCCAAAAATGTTGGCTGTGGTCGATCAATGGAAACCACAGGTAACTAAGA